GCGAAAAATATTAAAGATTCTTTTCTGGATTACCGTGAAGACACCATCGCTGATTTATTTGAAAGTTGGTTTAAAAACAAACTAGTTCCAAACATTCCTCCTAATAGTGTAATTGTAATGGACAATGGATAATTATGCAAAAAATCTAGGGCATACAGTTTTAGGTCTTCCACCTTACCACTGTATAATTAATCCCATTGAACATGTTTGGCACCGACTGAAATCTGCCATTCGCCGTGACAATGTTTTCCCCGTGTTAATTCCAATGTCCTCAAAGTTACAGAAACCGAAGTTTTTAACATCCCTCCACAAAGTTGGGCAAATTTTGTTAAACATATAGAAAAAACAGAATAATCGTATATCCATATTGCAAATAACATAGAACAAATAATAATTAGAACAGGCGATGATAGCGTTAGTGATACTGATATATTATGTGAATAATTCTAAGTAATTTAAGCAGGTAATAAAAATAATTTGTAATTTTATTTTAGATTTAAATATAAATACATACATAAATAAATAAATATTGTTTAGTATCTTTCCTAACAAAACCCCAAATAATTAAATTCTAAGCAAAGTACGGACCTGTTCGGCCATATTTCATTCTTACATTCATTTGTATCAGTTAGTCACTTTCTTATATCTATGAACAGACTTTACTTACAAATTTTGGGAATACTTATATCCTGAAAATACCATCACTGTGATCCATATAAATAAAACAATCATCGTGTTGCCTTCGCCAGCGTTTGTGAGGTATACAGTGTGCAAATGAGCTAAAATGTCACAGCCGTCATACCTGACAACGATAATGGATAATGGTCTCTCTTCTCATTAATGTGCCAGTGGCGTGCCGCTTGCGTTATTCGCTAGTCAACTATGCACGGCTTTCACGTGGTTCAAATTAAAACTGCCAAGTTTTTATTTCTGAAGTAAAATGCTTAATAATACTAATTAATTATTATAATAAGAGTGCATGTACAAGCTGTACACTAGATTAGGTAATATTTTAAAACCATTTTGCATCTATAGTATAACCTTACCTTCAATTTCCCTTTGTTTTGAAGTTACAAGCATAAAAACACCCAATATAAAACAAAACAATAATAAATAAAATTGATGTTCAGTTAAAATTGGGTTCTCTGTGTACCCAACGTTTTGCCTTTTTGCAGCTATCCTAGCGGATACAGATAAAGACAGTTTGTTGAAATTTGGGGCGTCTTGATTTCCGTTGCAATATTATGGTAGAGTTCTTCAAACGATATACCGTTTTTACGACATAATCCGGTATCTAACTTTGTTAAATTTTTAGGAACGTCTAATGGCAGGTCTTGGATTTCTATTTTTAATCCTCAATAAATAGATTCGCAATACCACAATGACGTTCCAGAAGCGTATTTCGGTACTTCGTGCATACAAATACCGAAAACTGACGTATTTGTGTAGAGTTTCATTGATGAGAAAAAAGTTATTCTACATCAAAATAATTACTATCGTCACTGGATTCGTACCCACATTCTGGCACTCTCGTCGACTTCTGTAAACATTTTCTTCTTCTATGACACGTTCTAAACATTTTTTCGAACTAGAAGCAGATATTTTTTCTACTTCACTTCTAATTAATTCTATTGCCCCAGAACTAAATTTCCGCGAGGTGTTGTTTCTTCTTAAACTGGGGTCCAGCTGTCCCCATCTTACTCCTATCAATTCAGTTGAATAACAGATAGATAGATAGTTTTATTCACAAAGCCCAGTACGTATACAGTGGATGTTTCGTCAGGAAACGAGTACATTATAGAGTAGTATAAAGATACATGGAATTATGTATATAAACCATACGATAATACACATTTAACAGTACAGTATACAACAGTTACAAACGGACATACAAACAGTACAAACATATTGACAAAATGTAGAGAAAATATCACTAAACTCATCAGGGCACTCTAATATATGTTTCAAATTCTTTCAGGTCGTAGGAAGCATTGGTTGACAGAAGCTTTCTGATGCATTTTTTAAATTGTCTTGTAGATAATGCTTTTATGCTCGTAGGAAGCAAATTATAGTAATAAGGTCATGTGGAACATGTGGTTCAGTCTTGGCTTTAGAAGGTGTTCACTGTTTCGGGTGTTGTAATCGTGTGTTTCTTGTGAGAGCCACTGTTAGTATTTTATACTTTATAAATATATATTTGCAGGTTAGCCTCGGGGGCAGTCTGAAAATCAACCTAAGTATCCTTTTTTGCTGAATGAGCACCGTCTCCGCATCACTCGCTTGTCCCCAGTTTACGATATTATATGAAATAGACGAGTATGCTGAGGCGAAATAGAAAGTCAACAAGGATCTTTCAAAGAAAGAATCTCTGATTGTTAACATTGCAAAAAACGTTTTGTTAAGTTTATTACAAACACTATCTATGTCGTAGTCCCACTTTAGGAAGGCATCGATGTTAGATCCGAGAAACTTTGTTGTGTGGTTTAATTCCACGCGTGGACCCGCAAAGCTGAACGCTAGTTCAGTCAGGGGTTTAACATACTGACCAGTGAATTCGATCGCAACTGTTTTTCCCAAATTTATGATCAAATGATTTTGTTTGCAAAAATCAACAAACTGTGCCACAACACTAGAGAACCTGTTATCAGCTCCTGAGCCTCCCTTCCGGAGACGAAGATGGATGTGTCATCCGCGTACATACGCAGCAGTTGGTATTGAGGAAATCAGGAAGGTCATTCACGTACAGAAGAAAAAGTAGTGGACCTAAGATTCATCCCTGGGGCGTGCCTAAGTTGACGTTGAACGGTTCCGAGTATATTCCATTCACTTTGACCCTTATTTCCCTGTGTTTCATATATGATATTATCCAACTATTGATATTACCTCGGAACCCCAGGCATTCTAGTTTTTTTTGCCATAATATTCAAATCTAAGGAATCGAAGGCGCGCGATAGATCAAAAAACACTCCCACAACTGTCTCACCCATGTCGAGTTTGTCGTAGATATACTGAACGTTTCCGTTGAGTAACCAACACGGAAACCATGTTGCACATTCGATATAATGTTTTCTTGCTCCAAAAAATGTGTCATTCTGTCGTACATGGCCTTTTCGAGTATTTTAGAGAACCAACCTGCGATTGTTATAGGCTATAATTCTCTATTAGCTCAGAGTCTCCCTTTTTGAATACAGGAATCATTTTTGATTTTTTCAATGCCGCAGGGAACTGCCCGCAGAGAACGGACGTATTGGTAATAGTAGTTAAATATGGAGCTAAAACTTCTCCACAGGTTTTTATGAGTTGTATAGGTATTTCATCGATTCCAACAGATCGCTGGTTTTTGAGTGATTGAATTACGGTTATGGCATGAAAAACATACTCTTTGCCTTGGTGGTTGGAAGAGTGCCAGTTTCATCTGTAGTTAACATAGTATCGGTCTTCGACTGCACGTGAGTGGCAAAAAATTGTCCGAATTCATTTGCTATTATGTTATCATTAATTACGTTATTAACATTTATTCGTATACGGCGTTGAGTTTATTCCTTACCCAGCTTCTCGTTGACAAGTTCCCACATTTTTTAACTTTTGTTGTTAGAAAAACTTATTAAGTTCGAGAAGAAAGCCAGGAAAATATTTTAGCGTCATTATGTCAAATGCTTAAATTGGAAATCAGTTTAAGCTTTTTACTTTGTTTTTAATGAATATGGATAGCATTAACTTAAGTAAGGACTGTTTTAGGAAGATTTATAAAATGCATACTAATATGAATTAATCCATCAGTTTAATCAAGAAAATTTCATTACTCTTAAAATACAACCAGCCCGCAGGGCACATTCTTGGACCCTTCCGCGTTATAACGGGCGGTTATTAAACTCATTCCCACGTCAATACCATAAAAGGTTGTAAAAACGGTATTTCGTTTGGAGAACTGTACCCTCATTATTCTCATTAAATTCGTCACTCTCTTTTTATTAGTCGCCTATTGTTGAGAAGTAAATACTAACTGTTGGTAAAACGTAAATCTCTTTTTAAAGACAGCGAGACGTGAAGGCCAGAGATGCGGCTTATCACTGGAATACTTGAGACAAGGGAAGTGATTGGTGATCGATGGTATCACGTCAGCACAAACAGGATCGAAGAATTAGAGGTAGGTTATAGTTATAGTCTGTTCGGTGACAAGAGAGAGTAATAAAACGATATAAGACTTGGTCAGAGTTGCAAATCATATACGCTTACCGTATGTGAATTCGTAATTTTAGTTTGCTATGCGGTTGAAATTTATGATTACGAGCCTTCTAAAACTTTTAACACAAACAAACCTAATTTTTAAAAATAAAAAATTCGACAGCACAGATGCTCGAAACACTTTTCTGATAGTTTGTGTTGGATGCAGATCAACGCCTTTGGATATAGCTCCATTAAGTTTATTACCCTTGCTAACTATTATCGAGCGATATAGCCAGTTGAATCAAACAACACTACCGAATCGATCGCCTCAAATTAGACACTATTTAAATCTTTTAGGTACTGTCGCAATCTAACCGTTTCCGGTGTAATGCTATTTTTGATCGTAGCAGGAAATTGCGTTTTCGATTTGAATCGAAAACGATTGTTCTGTTCAGGCTCGGGCGTTTTGTAGTCCAACGTTTCGAGCCTGAAAAACGCATTCGATGAGGAAACGGCCGAGAATTTTATTATGACCGCTCATTGATGTCGTATAATTTGTTTCGGCCGTATGAGGGAGGTTTAATGTCGTATCCGGTACAGACAATGATTTCGTATAGGTTTGTTCGAAATCGTTTTATTCCTTCGTATGACATATCCCACTTTTTAAATCTTTGGTATAAAGCAGTTTAACAAAATATTTAATTTGACAACCATTAGATAATCGCAAACCGTCAATCCTCAACAAATCGCTCTAGGCAACAGTAAATAAAACGCACAAATACATATCATTTGTTTATATTTTACAATTATAATATACAACGAAAGTAGTTCATTTTTATATAAATATGCGACTTTTAAAAAGATACAAACCGTCTCATATGTACACAATTTTTAAAACGTTTTTTTAAAAATCGTCATACCTACACATTATTTTTAATAATAACCTTTTTTTTAAACATTATTTTTATTTTGTTTCACTTGCGTAGACACCGAACGAAGAGAAGAGGGGGTGTGTGGTTCGTATTCGAAAACGTAAAAAAATACTGGCAAATCAAAATCGTTATAGTAAGCTATAAGTACGTTTATAGGAACAACGCTATGCCGTAAAGATATAATATGATATACAGTGCGTTCGTCGGCCGGACGGGCTGGCTGACTAGCTGTTGGACGTGTGCCTCACAAAAACAAAGATGGCCCAACGGTAACGAACGCGCTGTATAGGATTGCAATCGAGGAATGTATCGATAAAAAAATATTTAGGAAAACACACGTTTAGCGGACAACAATGAAGCTGATTTGTTATTTTTGTGTTGTAAATGTCGTTTCAACATCGCTGAACGAGCAAAATTTGCGACAATTCAAACGTACTTGGCGATATGACAAATACTGCAGAGTCAATCTAGGTGGTATAATACTGTAAAACAATAATACAGGGTGTTTCTAAACTGGCTTAATATATCTTTTGTCCGTTCGGTCGGTGTTCGACGAATTGGTTTAAAATGACTGTTACAAAATAAAAAATGTAAAAAACACGCGATACAAATATTTAGCTGCCTTCATTTTCAGGAAATTGTAAACGCGGCAACCCTGTTGATCTGACTGCATCCTTAGTAATGGTTTTCATTTGTTTTTCTAACTAAAATATAAGCGGGCATCCAAAAATTCCCAAGAAGTTTTCGATGTAACATGGTCGCCAATAACTTTAAAACTCTTTTTTCAATTTTCCAATTGCTTTGTTGATCACACCTAGCCGAAGGAAACCGGCAGCTGACACATATAAAGTTCGGACGCACTTTGAAAACACCCTGTACCAAATAAAATAAAAAACGAGTGTACAACTCAAACAAAAATGGCAAGTCGATTATATTGGCAGATATCGTTAAATACATATATACAAACAATTTACAAAATGCAGGCGTGTAGGTTGGGCGAAAAAAAAAGCCACTCGAAAAAGGCAACGTAATAAATATAAATTAGGATTTTCGTCGGGACGTCGAGGAAGATGGGGCGAGTTGGAGGAGGGAGGAGGTGACCCACACCACTCGACGCGATTTCTCGCTTTTGTCAAACGGACAAGTAGCGCTCGGCAAGCGGAAAACAACGGAACCAAAGGAACAATTTCGTAACAATCACTCGTTTTGAGGACGCCGAGAGGGCGGGGCCGGGAGTTTCCCTACCGCGAAACCGGGCCAAGCTCTCTTATCTTCAAGTCGAGACATAATTAAATTCTTCAGCACGAACCTCGGAAATAGTCCGCACAAATACAGTTCAAAAGAGAATTTTTTTTCTTTTTAAAAAATTTACCCTTCGCACAGAGGTATAAAAAAAACTGATTATTGTGTACCGATTTTTGAAACATACATCTTTGTTTGGTGTTTTCAGTTTTTTCATGAAGGTTGATCCAGTTGTATGTTGGCAAGATTTCCGAATTATACGTTTTATTAATCAATGTTCAGCTATCGAGGATGAACCATTTAAAAGTGCTTGAAATGATAAAAATGTTAAAGATTTCAGGTCGACTTAAAACGTTTATTTCTTCAAGATTGCAGATTTTTATTAAGGTTTGTTTTTTATTAAAAACTATTATTTGAGACACCTAGTATATATTTGAAAATCTTCACCACTACTCGTCCTTTTTTGGATCTTTGACCATTGTAATTAAGAATTAGCCCTGTATAATCCTTATGCTGTCCTGTAATTGACTTTATATTTTTATATACAAATGTCACTAAAAACTCTCGAATGAAATATCGATTAAGCTTTTTTTTATTATATTTGCCCATAGTTTCTCGTAATTTATTTTTTATTGATATTTGAAAGTTAATTTTGACGTAATTCTTAATACATGGAATAGATTCCTCCGTCCCAGAAAAGCACCGTTAAATAACTCGTGCCACGTTTGTGTTTAACGCGGCAATATTAAAAATTCCCCAACACGGACGGTTAAGCGAATATTTTTGTTCGCAATATAAAATAATTAGGAGTTTCGGAAAAATATCTCAGTCGATTTTTTAAAAACTAAACACGAATCCAAAAAAAAAATCACGTTATACAGGGCAAGTGATTAACAGCGCAGTGTTGTCGGGTTTCCTTCAACCTACGTAAAGTTCGCTAGCTGCCCCTACTTGCGAAACGCGAGCCACCCTGTACTTTACAAGTAACGTATAAAATTATATAAAAAATTAAAATTAATATACTTAACATTATTATATACACTTTTTTTTGCATTCTCTCGTATTTTATACACAGCTCTCTACAGTAAATTGAAATATTTGTCTTCCCATATATTAAATACTAGAGTCTAAACAATTATTAGTGCGTAAGAAACCTTACGTTGCTTTTTAAACATTCAAAACTGCGGAGTATTTTTTTGTAATATATCACTTACAACGGCGGCGGGTGGCGAAACGCCCCCTCACCCTCAAATCGGGACGATTCTAATTCCGACGGCCCCCGTTCCCACTTAGGCCACGAACAAACATTTCCCTACGCGCAACAAGGAAAAGTACACAAAACGCCGATTTTCTTTTTTTTTTCTTAATAATTTCAAAACTCAAGGCAACTAAATCGCTCCGGCTCGAAGGACCAGAAACGTCGAATAACGAAATGCTCTCGTCTCAAATCGCGCCGCGACGCCCCGCGCCCTACAAGAAAATCTCGCCTCTTGTGCACTTTCGCCCTGTCGGGATTAAACATTACGCGTCGCTATAATGGTTCTGGTCTCTCATCGCCTTGAATCGTACGAAACCCTGATCGTCCACCAGCATCGTCTGTTGCCTCTCGTGATTCGGCAACGTTTGCACTCCCAAGTGCGGCCTGGGGTGGTTTTTTCTCGCCCGTCCCGTCGATCTACGTCCCGAAGTGTTCGTCGAATTGCGCGAACGTCTGTCAAAGTCCGAACGTTCGAATTCGTGTCGCGTCCTTTCGTACTGGTGCTGGTTCGGGTTATCTATCGGTTCGCTGTATATATTCCTTTCAGAGTTCGAGACCGCGTCATGCTGATAATCCTCGTTGTTCGTATAAAACTTGGACGGGTCGAACATCGTCGCCTTCCTGGCCGACGACCTCTCGTTCCTCATCGAATTGTGAACCGAATTGCGGTCGAAGTTGCCGGAACTCGGTTGTCCGAAATTGCTCAAGCTGCCCTGATCGATATTTTGGCGCGAATCGAACCTGTCCGAACCCCATTTGGGCCTCTCGAACCTGTCAAAGTTGCTGTTCCTCTCGCCGTCGCTCTGGTACCTTTCGAGAGTGCTCTTCTTGTCGAACGAGTCGTTTTGGAACGCGTTCTTTAACAAGTTCGGTCTATCCACCGTCTCCGCCGGTATATTGTCCAGAACCATTTCTTGACGGCTGTAATTCAATGCGTTGGGGTTCGTGTTACAATTGTTGGGGTAAATGTTGTCCGTACTCGAATCGCTGGTGGTGCAGGGGAACAATGGGAACCCGCCGGCAGACTGTTTCTCCCGTTGCGACATCCTTAGGCTGACGACTATCGCGAGTAGGGTGATGATCGATATCTCGATGAGGCGCACTGAAAGCTCGAAACTCCACAGTATCCAGTGGTGGGGGTACTCGCTACTGAAACGGTCGCCTTTGATGAAAAACAACGCGTAAAGCTGCACGAGCCCCAGCAGGTTAAACAACAGCGCCACCGCTATGGTGATGTGACTCGCGTACGAGATGTTTTGGGTACACATTTCCGATAGGTTTTGACTCTTCTTCGCTAGCACGTTCTTAATGATTCGATAGAGGTAGATGTAACTGATACCCAACGCCCAAGCGAGAAGCACGAACACCGGTCTACAGATAGTGAGGTTCGCGTTTTTGAGGTGACCAAGCGTTTCGACGACGCTCAGCACGAAACAGAGCACGATGTGAAGCAGGGCGAAGACTACCAACACCACGGGACGCGTCTTGACCTCCAAATGTGTAAGGGTGCGTTTGAGGAGGAACAAGATGAGGACGGCGAACGTAGTAGCGAGCAAGCTCAGAGGGAAACTATGGAGAAAGTCGTAGAGGAACGGATTGAACGATTTGCGTACATTATACGCGTCGTAGATGAGGTAAAAGATGCGCAGAACGCATATCACTGTCAGCATTAAGTGGATGGTGAGGAAGTAGCTCTTGGAGAACATGTGCGGATCATTTTCGTAACGGATCAACTTGTAAATCGAGAAAGCGGCCAGGAGGATGTAACCGACCACCGCGAGGTATACGTGAACGTTCCAGCACACCGTCCAGATCTGATCCGAGCCCACCACTGCCGCCGTAACGTTCGTTTCTTTCTCTTTAACGTTGGGCAAGTTCACACTGTCGCTCATTTGAGTGGTCACGTCTTCCACGTGGACCTGCGCGGGCGGTTGCGCGTCTTTCTTTACCGTAACACTTTCCGACCGCTCCGGCGGTATTTCCTCTTGTTTCGGCGTCGACTCGCGAGGTGGCGCCGGCGGCGGTTCCGGCTCTTGACGTTTCAGACTCGGTTCCGCCGCCGGCGCCCTAGTCTTTGTCACCTTCGGCTCGAACCGGTCGGCGTTAGGCGTAGCGGTAACGGTGCGCAGTAAAATATCCGATATGTCCTCGTGACGTCCGTTGGAACCGCTCAGTATGCGCGTTATCGACGGCACGTACGACTTTTCGTATTCGAAGTTACTTTCGTTGACGTTCCTGGCGCCGCCGTAGAAATCTCCCACCCTGACGTTCTGCGACGGCGTGTTTAGGCTCTTTTTCTTTTCGTTCTTCGCATCTTGGTGATTCGGTTGTTGGGGCGGTTGCGGCTGAGGCGGCGGCAACCGTTCCGGTACTTTTTCCGCATTCACTTTCGGCAAATCGGGCCTAAACGGAATACGATCTTTGGCGGGCATCAACGACGGGGGCGGTATCGGTCTGCGGTTCACGAACCTGTCCGAATTGGTACCGCGCAACGTCGGTTTATCCGCGAACGGGTTCTGGAGGGCCTTCGGTAACGCGGGCGTGAAAAACACACGACTCGGAGGCACGTACGACGGCGACGCTTTGCCGCCCCCGTACATCGCCTTCGTAGGTCTGACGTTACGTAGCAGGTTATAAGTGGTGGTCGTCTTGTAGACGTTCTCGGTGACGTGTTCGGCGTCCGGTCGTAACCGGTCATTGTTGTAACGGTTCGGGTTGCCGTAATGTTTGTTGTGGTTATTTTTCAAGATATCCGCGGCCGGGGCCGAGGTCGGCAGGCCGTGGTCTTTCTCCAGGTCGACGCCGTAAGCGTCCAGGTCGCGACGATTGTTGTCCGCGTCCGCGACGTCCGGCTGCTCGAACTCGAGGTTCACCCGGGACGTGTCCTTGTTAACGTCTTTGACGTCGACGCGACGCCACTCCTCGCCGTTACCGTCCGCGTAGCGGTACGTAGTGAGCAGGGGTGTCGCCAGCGTCGTTACCGGGTACGCGTTGTCCGGTATGCTGCGTTTGGTGGTGCTGCCGTACGCTACCTTGTTGAACACCGCCGCGATACTTTGCTCGAGGTTAATCTTGTCGAAAAAACGTTCGGTTTTGTCGAACTCGGCGTAACAGTTCGCGCCGCGTCCAAGCGTGGTTAAGATTAGGGCGGAGAACAAAATGGCCGGGCACGGTCGTCTCATCATCGACCGTCGATTGACGTATAATATTAGGCACACGAATAATTTACTTATCGATAACAGTATCGTAAAACTAATAGAGTCGCAGTCTTGTTCGATTCGATCACAGACACAGTTCAGTTCGGTAATGTTGTCGTCCCGCGGGAGGCGCCGTCGCGTCCGTCGACGTTTCGCGTGTCGAGGGCGGCGACCGTCCTCGGGGTCCGCCGGCCCGGTCGTCGCCATCGCGCCCAGCTTCGGACTATAGTCGACGTTTGCCGAGATCATTTTGATTTCATCTTGCGGACGTGGCGGCGTACGGTGGTCGTCCGGCTCGTTTCTGAAACGAAAACTTTTGTTAACCTCGAGACTAATAGCTAAATAGAATAGAAACGACGAAGTGAAGCGAAGCTGTTTTCGACATTTCCACAATTATAACAATTATAGTTGCGATTATAGATAACTACTTCACTCACCTAACTCCGTTATTTCATTAAATACGACACACAAAATAAAATTACAAATTATTTTTATTACCTACTTAAATTACTTAAAATTATTCACATAATATATCAGTATCACTATCGCTATCCTCGCCTGTTCTAATTATTATTTGTTCTATATTACTTGCAATATGGATATACGATTGTTCTGCTTTTTCTATACGTTTAACAGAATTTGCCCAAATTTGTGGAGGGATGTTAAAAACTTCGGTTTCTATAAGTTTGAGGACATTGGAGTAAACGCGGGGAAAAACATTGTTACGACGAATGGCAGATTTCAGTTGGTGCCAAACATGTTCAATGGGATTAAATGTATAGTGGTAAGGTGCCTTAAAAAAAAGCCTTAAAACCGTAAGTCCTAGATTTTTGGCATAATTATCACAGACGTATTCCTTTTATAGGTTCAAGCTTTGTAGAACCTCAATTAATTGCTTTTTGGTATAATCTTTGTGAACATAAATATCGTTATTATACATATAGTTTTGGATTGTTGCTTTTGTGTCACATGAGGAAGTTTGTTTTTAAACCAACTTTCAAATAAATCAGCGGTGGTGTCTTCATGGTAATCCAGAGAAGAATCTTTAATATTTTTCGCAGACAGAGAAAGTCCATTTGGAATCCAACCATCTTTAGAGCCAGCATGCAAAATAGTTATTCTTTTACCTCTTTTCATAAGTCATAAGTGTCGAACCAGGTTTCATCCAAGTAAATAATTGGCCTTTGTTGTTCTTTGTAAATCCTAACTTTTTCTAGATATTTCAGTCGCCATTTCCAAATTCTAAAAGATTCCATTAAAACTTGCTTTTTGTATTTTTTTTTAAATCTACAACCCAGGGGTTGAATACACTTCCATAAGGTAGTTCTGCCACATTTAACACCGGTTTCAACTTCTTCAAGCCTCCTAATTAAGATATCTAATCTAGGCACGCTTTGTTCCTCATATAATTGGTAAATTTTACGCCGTATTATTTATATCTTGATCATTTTCATCTACACTCGAGAAAATGTCAGCATCGCTTCTTTTTTTCCTCGCTAATGGGATTATTCCATTTTCCATACAGTTGATGTTGGAATTTTCATCAATGCGGCCGTTTCTTCTAAAGATGCTTGCTTGCTGGCACCACGTTCAATGAGAGTCAAATAAACATTGTTTATAACTTCCTTAGTCTCAATAGAATAGTGTTTTCTTCATTTGGGCGGGAGCATCTCCTGAGATACACCAGGCTCGCACATATTTTGCATAATTCGCACACACACGCTGTATTACACACGAAATTAATGATTACTAATAAACTTAAACTAAGTAGTATACCAAACCAAATAATATTAAACACAGGTAGGTATAAAATTATTTCTATTATTGTATGTTAATGACCACTCTTGGATAATCCCATTCAAAAGCAATTGGTCACTTTCTTATATCTATGAACAGACCATACCTGCGACCAGGACCACGGTTACCCTCTATTTTTCTTTGCATGATTGTATGGAGCAATTTATATTTTTGGCTTTCTTCTTTTAATCGTATTAAGTATATCATGATATCTTCAAGATTGTCCGGTAAGCCCACATTTCGAAAGCCTCAATCCTCTTACACATTGTTTCAGTAAGGGTCCATGCTTCCATACCGTTGAATAATATGCTAAAGACAGCAACATAATAAGCGGATTCTTAAGGCTTTGATGGATTGCATGTTCTTATAAGATGTTTGCTCCATTCTGTTTTTAATTTCTTGAGTCGAGTTTTCATTTACCCAACACCCCAAATAATTGTATGTTTGTACCCTCCCAACTATTTCCCCATTTACGCTGTTAAGGTATTAGGTTTTTGTTTTTGCTTGTTTTGCAATCTTTACCTTTTACCAATATGGGAAGCAGATATCCGAGATTTTTCCTTTAGCTCTGTCCCCCTTAACCAGTATAAAATCACAGTCCAATACAAACCAGTGTCCGTTAAACTCTGAAGATGGTTTGCTTGTCGTTGTTATTATTACGCCACAGCCTACAGGATACACAAACCTTTCAAATATTGGGTTTTCTAAAGTTTTATTTCAATGTTTTCTAACATCAAATATTAAAAATAGCAATTTAGTGAGAAGAGGGAGAAAAAGTATACTGATATCCAGGTGGTAATTAAAAGTTATAGTTTAAGTTCATGGGTAGGTTATTGGAAGCACAGCAAGAAAAAAAGAATTCACATCATTAGCTTAGAACCCGAAATTTTTGGAGGGCGCTAGTTTTTTTAATATCAAGTATTAAAAATAGCTATTAACTGAGAAGAGGGAGAAAAAGTATACTGAAATATTTTCACTTCTTAAATCCAAGTGGCAAGGGAACCCAAAAAAACGCATCAAAAGAAACAGCCGAGTTCTGGCCTGCCGCGACGTCATCAAATTATAAAATCTACAAGATACGACCGTAATACAGATGTCGAACGGCCCTAAGTATAAAAGCGACGGAATAAGCTACTTTCCATTATTATTCGTTATTGGGGTGTCGTAAAACCGGGCCTTTATCCGATTATTTTGCGAAAAAGGAATTTATTACCTTTTAGGGTAGATGCCGTTCCACCGGCCTGGTGTGTTTAGGGTGTAGCTTCGAACGTCACCACCCGGTCAGTTCGGGAATGGCAAACACCGACGGTAAACATTGACGATATAATTCTTTAAGGCGATTGTTACCCGGTACTTTTTGACGTAATTATCATAACTGAATACCGGTAAACAAACCAGCATAGAAAACAGTTTTTGAGGGAGAACGGGAAGTTAAAAAAAAAACATCAATTGTAGTTTGAAAATTAGAACGGACGGGTTCAAGAAAACCTTGAAGCGATGAAAAAAGGAAGAACTATCAATACGGCGGATACTTTTAAACGCTGACCAAATTCGATCGTGTTGTTGTCTAAAAATATCGACTTTATTCCCATCTGTCGTAAATATTAGAATAGCCCATTATCTATTTTAGCTTTTCCGTATTTTATTTAGGACGGCCGCCTTGACGTAGATCCACATCACCGCGGATATAGTAAGCCACTGCAGATCTACACGTCATACACCCAACGGCGGCCGTTATTTGATTACCCCGTATAAATAATTCACGCGTCCTCGAAAATTATTCAACACGGCCGCCGTTCGGATGCAGAAAATTGATTGCATCAATGATTTAACCGGGGATAAATAAAAGATCGAAATTTGTATTGCCACGCGACATTTTCGTTTAACTTTACCAATATACCTATAAAACGTGCCGTATATACGTTAAATATTTGATCTGACAGGGGGCGCTGCGAGAAAATCCAAAAATGACGCTACCTATAAACGCTCCGGTAGAATTTCATATTAAATGGTCGATGGGATTAAACTACATTATTAAAAAAATTACTCAGGATGTTAAAACCAAAAATTTTGACCACTATGGCTGCTCTGTTAAGACTCGCGACGGTCGCTGGCTGTCAGCTGTCAACAAAACGGTGCTGTCAAACAGAAAATAAAGTATAACAATGCTAATATTCGCTTGCAAAATCTTTACAATTTATCATTATGAAAACCAGCATTTTTAGTGCATCTCCATAGGTTTGACCAATGTGGTTCTAAAATGCAGTTTTGTGTCAAACGTTGCAACCCAGAGTTTTTATAAAACGCAACGAAAACCGACGCAGGAGAAAGTTTTTTTGAAAAGTTACACCCAATACTTTAGAAGCGTAATTAAAAGTTATAGTTTAAGTTCATGGGTAGGTTATTGGAAGCACAGCAAGAAGAACAATTTCACATCGTCAGCAAAGAGCAATATTTGACTATCTACGAGGGTCACTCGAAAAGTTTCCGACTTCATCCTGAAGATGTGAGTTTTTGTGTAAATGGAAAAAAATGAGTATAGAGTTGTTATAAAATATTTGTTTTTGAAAGGAAATACGCCTATACAAATTAAAGTTGAATTGTACTCTATGGAGTCTGCACCGTCATTTGCCACAGTGAAATTTTTGGCAACTGAATTGAAACGTGGCCGTAAGAGCTGTACTGTAACTGCCGACGTTAATATTGGTAAAGTTCATCAAATGGTGTTAAACGACCGTCGAATTAAAGTGAGAAATATAGCAGAGGTTATGAAAATGTCCGAAGAACGTGTTCGTCACATTTGAAATCGAGATCTAGGCATAAGAGAGCTGGCCGCGTGTTCGGTACCGTGTGAGTAAGACCAAAAACGTGTTCGAATGAACGTTTTCAAAAATGCAGTTAAAACAGTGAATTGGGAAGTGGAAACCGACTGGGAAAAAAGCAAATACCGTTTTTTCTAGGAAAGTGATGGCGACTGTTTTTTGAGATAGCCAACTTCAAAATGAAAAACCATTACAGGAGCATACTACGCATCGCTATTTGACAAGTTGAGGACAGAAACTGCGGGGCAATGGCAAAAAAATCATGTTTCACCAAGACGCATACCTCAACGGCAGCCTCCACGAATTAAGGCTTGAACTTCTAGACCACTCACAAGATCTAGTCCAAAGCGTAAAATTATTTGGACGGGTTAGATAGATGAGAGAAAAAATGTTTTGTATTATTGTTAGGTCGGAAACTTTTCCAGTGACCCTCGTATAATCATTAATAAAAAGCAAGGAAATCAATGGCTCTAAATGACTACCCTGGGGAACGCCGCAGCTAGTCACAAGTATAAAGGATGACTGTTATACAGATACGCTTTTATGAATGCCACAAAGTCAAATGCCAGAATTCAAGCATCCAGTTTAAGAATAAATTATTCGTGAAAATTTGTGAAATGTCAAAATACCTCAAAATTGATTATTATGGAAATTTACTTGACGCTCTGTTTCAAAATTTCTA